CAGAAATATAAGAGAAAAACTGTATCTATCCAACAAGACCAGGATATAATCAAAGAACCAAAAGGAGCTCTTAAAAATTAAAAGGTTTATGGTCAACATTCAACATTGGACAGGTGTGGCAGAGAATGCCACCATATCTCATTCATCTAATTCATCCTGAAGTGTGCAATGTGTCATGACCACTAAGAAAGAGAAATCCATCAATTGAACCCTGATTTTATTTGGCAATTTACTCAACTAAGAGTACATTTCCTTGGCTCCTTGTTAGCTAGGCGCAACACACAGCTAATTAAGTGTTGTGTGGACTTCCAGGAAGGCTCCTGGAAGCGAACTAAGTGGGCTTCCTCCCTCCTGATGCCTGGAATATGGGTGTGACGGCTGGACTCCAGCAGCCACCATCATGAGGACAGAGGCCAGGCACTGAGGACACAGAGAGCGGTCAGCTCCTGGTGATTTAGGGAAGTGCTGGACCTGCCCTGGGCAGCCTACCTCCAAACTTACTTTACCTGAAAGAAAAACAAACTATTTATTTATGCTACTGTTACTTTGGGTTTTATGTAATATGCACTTAGATATACTCTTAACTAATTCAGAAGAATTAGAAGAAAGGGTTAAGGAAATCTTTAAGAAAATGAATTTGAAAATAAAGAAGTGATAAAAATCATAGAGGATAAGTCCAGGAGATCCAACATCAGACTAATAGGAGTGCCTGGAAAAGAACAGAAAGAAAAAGAGGGAAAGAAATTGTCACAGAAATAATACAAGTTTATTATACAATAATAATACAATAATGAAATTTCCAAAATTAAGAGATGCTAACCTCATGATTAAAAGTGTCTAACAAGTGTCAGGCTCAAAAATAGGAAGCAAAATAACACAAAAGCTCATCAATGTAAAATGTAAGAACATAAGGGATATGCCCTGGCCAGTGTGGCTCAGTTGGTTAGAGCATCATCCCATGCACTGAAAGGTTGCCAGTTGGATTCCAGGTCAGTGCACATCCCCAGGTTGCAGGTTCGATCTCTAGTCAGGGTGCATGTTTCTCTCTTCTCCCCCCCACCCCCGCCCTCTCTCTCTATAAAATATCAATAAAAATAAAAAATATATTAAAAAAATAAACAAAAACATAAGGGATAGAGAAGAAATGCAAAACTTCTAGAGACCAAAAAAAAGACACCTCACAAGTTACACAACAAAGGACAGCAGACTACACACTGTTAGAGGACAATGGAACAATGCATTAAAAAATTATTCTTTTTTGTTGTTAATCCTCACCCAAGGATATTTTTTTCCATTGATTTTTAGAGAGTGGAAGGGAGGGAGGAAGGAAGGAGATGGAGAGAGAGAGAGAAACATCAACGTGAGAGACAGACATTGATTTAGGTTGCCTCCTGAATGCTCCCTGACCAGGGCCTGGGATCAAACCTGCAACCCAGGTACATGCCCTTGACCAGGAATCGCACCCATGACCCTCTGGTGCACAGGTAGATGCTATAACCACTGAGCTATCGGCTAAGGCCAAAAAATGATTCTAGTGAAAATGATTTATGATTTAGATTCTATACCCAATCTATCAATCAAGTACGAAACTGACGTTTTAAACAAAGACTTAGAAAATGTACCTATCACACTACCTTTCCTTAGGAAGGTACTAGAGAATGTGTCCCAGCAAATGAGGAGGACACCTAAACAGAGAGAAATGAGACCTAGGAAACTGCAGATCTAGGAATGCTTCAGTAAAAAAGGTATCAGGCCCAGCAGGCATGGCTCAGTGGTTGAGCGTCGACCTATGAACCATGAAGTCAGGGTTCGATTCCCGATCAGAGCACATACCTAGGTTGATGGCTCGATCCCCAGTATAGGGTACAGGAGGCAGCCAATCAATGATTCTCTCTCATCACTGATGTTTCTATCTCTCTCTCCCTCTCCCTTCCTCTCTGAAATCAATAAAAATATTTGAAAAAAAATTTTATATGGTAGTTATAATGGAACAATATGTAACATTTTAATAATAGGTTCATTTAAAAATATGGAAGTGAGCCCTGACTGGTTTGGCTTAGTGGTTAGAATGTCAGTCCAGAGGGTTGAGAGTTCAATTCCTGGTCAAGGGCATGTACCTAGGTTGCAGGTTCCTCAGCTCTGGTAGGGGCAAGTGCTGGAGGCAAACAATTGATGCGTCTCTCTCATGTTGACACATCTCTCCCTCTCCCCGTCTTCCCTCCCTTTCATTCTCTCTCTAGAAATCAATGGAAAAAATATCCTCGGGTGAGGATTTAAAAAAATTTGAAAATATGCAAGTGAGAAAGCCATTGATTTGTAGGAAAAAAACAAAAAGCTGTACTAGAAATAAAATTAATCACAATATATTTCTTGGCTTTGACTAAATTATGTAACTTATTAGATATAATACGGGGATGATGACGTCCTGGCCTAGTAATTCAGTTGGATGGAGCATGGTGATGATAGGCCAAGACTGTGGGTTCGATCCGTGGTCAGGGCACATAATAATGAATAAAAGCATAATATGCAAATATATAATAAAAGCATAATATGCAAATCGAGTGAATGGCAGAATGACCAGTCAGCGGGGGCGGGGCCAGTGAGCAGGCAGCACCAGGCCAGCCAAGGATCGTGCCAGTGGGCAGAGGGAGGGAACGGCAAGGGGGGGCGGTGACCAGCGGCAGCAGAGGGGCGATGGCGGGGGGGGGGGAGCAACCTCCCCTGATTGGCCAGCCCGGTCGCCTCCCACAGACAGAGAGAGGCAGACTGCGGCTTAGGCCCGCTCCCCGCCTAAGCCATCAGTAGGTCATCCCCTGAGGACTCCTGGACTGTGAGAAGGCGCAGGCTGGGCTGAGGGGACCCCCCACCCCCGCCACCCAGTGCATGACTTTTTGTGCACCGGGCCTCTAGTATATAAATAAATGGAACAGCAAATCGATGTTTCTCTTTCTGTCTCTGTCTCTCCCTCCCTCCCTTCCCCTCTCTCAGCTACTTTTTTCTGACATAAGAATAAATATTTTGGTTGTGACATCCAGGTATGTCAGTATAAGCTTATTATTTAGAATTAAGGAGATAAAGCCAGAATAAACAGTGAACATTTACAGCAACTGCCTCTGGGGATTGGGATTGGGGAGAAGTGGGACAAGAATTGTTGCATTTCATTGTAAGCCTCTTGGTATTAAACAATATAACATGAACATGCATTAATTTAAAAGTAAGGTAAAGGTAAAATAAATGATTACCTGTTTTTCATCCCAGGATAGATTAAAACCCAAACTTCTGTATGATCAGGGCCTCCCAGGATCTAACACCTTGGCAGTTTCATTTCTGTTATCCCCTCATACATCTGTACCTAGGACTTTCCCTCCGGAGCCCACTTCCTTATGCCTTCCCCAGGCTGTAATAGCCTTTCCTCATCCCTGCCTAATAGATCTTCCCACCCTAAAGGCTCAGGTCCAGCTGCCTTCCTGCTCCCGGAGCAAGCTGTCTCGCAGAGTGCAAAAACTAAGCACCTGAAAGATCAGGGCCGTGGGTCTCAGTTCCAGCACCTGCCTCTCTGGAGAGAGCCAGCCCCAAGGGTTTGTTGTGAATGAGAGAGACTAGGAGTCCAGCCAGGGCCCGGTAAGCCACCTAGAAATGTATACTGTATAAAATTTAGTGTGCATAAGCCTATTTCTGTGAAAAGTAAAGCTTTCAGATAACCAAAGTGTTCTGGGACCTTATAAAGGATACGAAACCTTGAGCTGTCTCTGGGTGTTAACAAGGGTGCTAGGCAGAGGAATGTGGGAGGAGCCGCTCAGGCCTTGTGTCAGTGCCCTGAAACTATTCAAAGGCTCCAATCACAAACCAGAGGATTTCCTGCACTTCCTCACTGCTGGCTTAGTTTGCACTTGTCTGACTCTTCCCTGCATCCCTTTTCTTTTTTAAAAAAAATATATTTTTATTGATTTCAGAGCTGGAGGGAGAGGAAGACACATCAACGATGAGGGAAAATCATTAATCGGCTGCCTCCTGCACACCCCACACTGGGGACCAAGCCCACAACCCGGGCATGTGCCCTGACCAGGAATCAAACTGTGACCTCCTGGTTCATAGGTCGATGCTCAACCACTGAGCCATGCCAGCTGGGCTCTACATCCCTTTTCTGTGTGTACTGGGCCCCTCAGAAGCAAGCTCTAGAGCAGGTATTAAGTATGCCTCCTAGTCTTGAAGATGTTTTGAAAGGATGGAACTCTACCTACATAACATCTGTCCAGGGGCGAGCGGAGGTGAGCAGCAGGGACCAAGTCCACAGGCTGAGCTGTTTGTAAAGTTAGGTGAGTGTTTCTTCTGGGGTGATCTTTCCTAGCCCTACAGCCTTCTTCTCCAAGCCCTGTCCTTGGAGATGAGCTTTTAGGGACCAACTGCCCTGCTCCAACTCAGAACTTGCCATTCAAAGACTCAGGTGACTAGGGGGTCCACATTGGCTCTTCACCTACCCCTCAGTATCTCCTCAGTATCTCCTGCAAGTCTTCCAGTACTATATCCTTCTAAAGGCTCAGGCGTGGTTGCCATTGCCATGGCTTAGCAAAGGACCTCGTGCCGTGGCTGGTTTGGTTCAGTGGATGGAGCGTCAGCCTGCGGACTGAAGGATCCCAGGTTCGAGTCCAGTCAAGGGCACATGCCCGGGTTGCAGGCTCCATCCCCAGTAGGGGGCATGCATGAGGTGGCCGAATGATGATTCTCTCTCATCATTGATGCTGCTATCTCTCTCTCCCTCTCCCTTCTTCTCTGAAACCAATAAAAGTGTATTTAAAAAAAGAAAAGGGCCTGGTACTAGCCCAACTCTCCAGCCCCACTGGCCCAACTCCCAGGCTCAGCCATCGATGCTCGCTCCTCCCCTTCTCACTGGCCCTGTGCTCAAGTTTCCACCACGACAGGAACACCAGATGCCACTCTCCCTCTTTTCTCCTCTTTCATCAATGTGCTGGGGGTAGGGTGGAAGTCTATCGAGGGCTTACCCAGAACTTCACGAGAAAAAAGGCATTGGAAGGTCCCCGTTCAAAGAGCTCCTTGAGTCCACCCTTTTTCTCTGGGAACTTGTCATAGATCTGGCGGATGTCCACGGCTTCAAGGTAGGGGTCACTGTAGCTTGGGCTTGACTGGCCAATGTGTACGAACAGGTGCTTGTTGTACTGTGGAGAGAACAGCTGGTCTGAGGGAGAGGCAGGGGTAGCGGGGCAGACAAAACGGACCAGAGCTCAGATCCCAGCCATGTGACCGGGAGTGAGTAATCTCACCTCTCTGGACTGCAGTTTCCCCACTGGTAAAATGGAGACAAAGGACAGACTATAAAGCAAAATTAATGGTATACAGTATCTGGTGGGGTGTCTGGCACCCAGTAGGTGCTCAATAAATTGTAGCTATTATTTGTATTATTCGTAGTCCTGCCTCTGCCATGAACTGTCTTTAGGCAAGTCTTTTTCTATCTTTGGGCCTCTGTTATTTCACAGAGATCAGACCACTGACCTAGAGGTGTTTTCAAATTGTGTTCCACCCGTGGAGACAGGGCTGGGTGTCTCTGTTGCTACAACCAAATGAAATCTACTTTTGTTGCACACAGTGGTCTTCTGAGTAGGAGCTTGTTTGACTAATGAGTCCCTCAGCTAAAAGACAAGTTGGGAATGTCAAAGTGAGATGGCCACAAAGTCCCTGTTGGCCCAGCCTCCTCCACGTGCTACTCTGACCTTTGCAGGTGACACCGATCCCCTAGGAACAAGCCGCTGAAGGGGGATGTGGGTCAGAGCCATAGGGAAAGGATGGGACAGCCTGGGGGTGAGGCTGGGATGAGCAGTTCACTGGGAGGAAAGAGAACACGGAGGGAAGAATAGAGGTCAGGGAGGGAGCAGGAAAGGGAGAGGACCTGAGAGAATGGACATGGAGCAAAGAAACCGTGGTGGGGATTTGGGATGGGAGCAATAGCTACACAGGGAGAGAGGGAAGGTGAAGTGAGGAAAGAAGAGGGAGGTGGCTTGAGGAAGGAAAGGAAAAGGGGAAGAGGTTCAAGGGAAGGAAAGGCTGCAAAGAAATGAGGAACCTAAATTCAAGCCCATAGCTGAGCGGAGCAGGATTGGGCTAGGAAGCCAGAAGCAGGTGGAACAAGAGCAGGAGAAGGTGGGGGAGCTCCAGGGTGAAAGAGCAGCCAGACAGGCACCAGGACCTACCGTGTCAGGGTCTTGCTGCTGCTCCAGGAAGGCAGAGAACTCCAGCATCCAGAGCTTGGAGCTGGCCACGCTGCGGCCCTGCCACGGGGGTGCTGGGGGCGCTGAGGGCGATGGGGCGGCTCCTGAAGGAGACTCGAACCCTGCAGGCAGTGGGAGAGGCACATGTGAGCCTGTTCACACACGCCCTCCCTGCCGACAGCCTCTGTGAGGACCCCAGGCCCACCGGTGAGACCGTGCTAGCAAGGGAATCACCAATCTCCCCTCAATGGGCTCTGACAGGGGTGGTGGAGGGCTCAGCCTGCCTGGTACAACTCAGTCCCCCTTGCCACACACTCCAGAGAGACTGCATGCCTGCTGGACCGAAAGGGCTTCCAGGGCAGGCTCTGCTGGGTTCTCGCCCTCAAGGAGCTTCTGGTCCAGCGGAGCTATCAGACCATCATTAACCACAATGACGTAGCCCTGCGAGAAGAGAACGTCTCCTGTGGGATTCCCTGCTGTCGCTCCAGCACCGAGCAGTGCCTGGCCCAGGATAGGCACTCTGATACAGGTCTGCAGTAAAGGAAGTCATGAATGGGATTAAAATTGACAAGGTATACACTCAGCACCAAAGAGGAGCTCCTAGTCCAACTCGGGGTGGTCGGAAAAGGTTTTTCCGAAGGCGACGCTTGAAAGAAGTTATGACGTAGAAGTAGACGGCAGTTAGTGAAGCCAGGGAAAGGGCGTTCTGGGCAGAGGACACAGCAGAGGCAAAGGTCTGGGGGCTGTGAGATGCTCCATGAGTTTGGAAACTCAAGTCTGTGGTAGAACTGGAGAGAAGGACGGGTTTGTACCAGGGGCAGGAACAAGGCTGAAGAGATGGGCTGGGCTAAGAAGTGTGAATTTTAGCCTAAGGGTTTGGGAGCGGGACAGGATGTTATGTAAGCAGGGCAGGGAAATGCTTAAATCTGCATTTCTGAAAGACCCTATTCCCGTTTGGAGGAGGACTGGCAGGGCAGGCAAGGCAGACAAAAGCACAGTCCTGCGGGGTCTGAACTAAGTGCAGTGGAGGGAAGAGGAGGGCACAGACGGACATGAAGCAAGGACAAGGCCAGGCCTTGGAGACTGACGGACGAGAGCAACGAGGCCGCCCAGAAGGCACTAGTGTCCCTTCCAGGCTGGGAGTCGGAGGAAGGGAGGCCCCAAGTGCTGAGGTCCAAGGAGGGAGATGGAGAAGAAATGGTGATCAGAGGGGTGGCCGGAAGGCCGAGCTGGACAGACACATTAGCCTGTGCTTAAAGCATCAGCTGACTCATTCATTCATTTGTTCAAGCATGCTTCCCGAGGAACTGCTGAGTGCCGGCAGGACAGGATACTGGAGGAGGTGGACAAATCAGCCACACAGATGACCACAGTCAGATGCTAGGTGGGGGTGCAGAGTGCTCAGGCGCCAACAGCAGGGCGCCTAATCGGGTGGGGGGTGGGTGCCTGAGCCACAGCACTGAGGCAGGGAGGGTGGTGAGGGGGAGGGAAGGAGAGGGGAGAAAGATGAGGTTTAACTGAGGAGCCCTGCAAGTCCTACCAGTTCACATTGTATCCTGAAGGCACCAGAGCCATTATAGGGTTCCACGCCTAGAAGCAACATGCTGAAATGGGTGCTTTAAAAAGATGACGAGGGGGTTACAGGGTGAAGAGAGGAGACTGGAGACCTGGAGCCAGTTAAGCGGCCACCGCAGTAATCCAGGCAAGATCTAGGAGGCCGGAGCAAGCACGGCGAGGCCAGTGAGGCAAGGACAGGGGAGGGGAGTCTGCACAGGGCTGGGAGGACCGCAGGCGGCAGCCCCTAGAGCAGGAAAGGCCAGGCAGAATGTGGGCAGCAGCTACTCCCAAGCCAGAAAAGGTGCTGAGGGCGAGGATCCTGTCTTGCCCTGCCGAGTGGAACATGGTGAGGGACCCTCATGAGGAAGA